TCCAAAGATTTACGTAGAGTCAACACGAGTGTGATAAAATCATAGATCTTAGTATTATCCAAGTATGCATTGAGACAATATGTTTCACTAGCTGACCCGCGCAACTTCGTCTGCGTCTCTCAATAGTAATAAATTTTCTCCGTTTTTGAAACATTCTTCATTGGTGCTCCGCTCCTATTGGTCTTAGCGTGATGATATATAGCCTATAGCCTTCCTCGATAAATGAGCTATCTAACACTGAAAGAATTTTTCAAATCGGACCAGTAGTTCCTGAGATTAGCGCGTTCAAACAAACAAACAAACAAACAAACAAACAAACAAACAAACTCTTCAGCTTTATAATATTAGTATTAGTATAGATTTATCACAATGAGAAATAACTCTTAAACTATCAAAAAACAATAGCATTAGCCCATAATACACTTTTGCATGTAAATATAACGCCTACTAACTTGTTCAAACATTCCGAGATGAGAAAAATGCTTGTCGTTTGTCATGTTAGTGTTAAGTTTGTATCATATTAGTTATCATCTATACTCTATGATCCAACATGGAAACCAACCTATAATAAATAAAATACAGAGCGAAAATTAACAAACCAGGGTAAGGCTGATTTACCTTAAAGTGATAAAGATCATCTAGTAGTAGTACTAATACTATGCTCAGTGTGTATAATTCCTAATCGTCGCGTCGCTGACGGAGAGGCGCGCGCGCAGCCGCCGGCCGCGCAGCTGCACCGTTTAACTCATGCGCAGCCTGAAGATTGCATTCACAAGATACCTATACCTGCGTGTAAATTAAGCAATATCTATGTCCGCTTGTATTGTAAACACTTTATCCCTATAGGCGATAATAATAACTTATCCGATGACGATCTTAAGGTCATGTTTTTCAACCTTGAGTTTAAAACTTTGTACAACAGTTAATCTACGATTTAATTTCAAACTGTAAATGTGCTATACCAATATCTTTTAAGCTTGTATCGAAAATCAAATTGCAGGTTTCTCTTAAAGTAGAAAACCTGGGCCTTTCGTAAATGTCGTTGAGTGTCTGCTTCAACGGGGTCCATGAGAAGATTGGGTAACTTTCTTCCAGTCGACACTCAAATTGCACTGTTCCAATCTCAACTCCTACCAATCCAAGATTACGTCGATGTCAACTATCTTGATATCAATCAGGACCAACTCAACACTGGCCGGAACTCCACCGTGGGACTGGCCGGAACTCCACCGTGGGACCTGGAGGCGAGAGCCCTTGCGGCACTGTATCAGTGGCGCAAGGAGGCGCAGGAGTTGGGTCGATGCCCCGAGACTCGAGAAATCGAGGACCGGAAATCCCAACTCCGCCAGGTCATCATAGGGGAGTGGAGGGAACGACTCGGGCAACCGAGCGCCGGGCACGCCGTCATTGCGGCGGTAAGACCCGTAATGGAGGATTGGCTCGAGAGGCGTCACGGGACCCTCTCATACCGATTGACGCAGGTGATCACTGGGAAGGGATGTTTCGGAGATCACCTGTGTCTGATCCGCAAGGAGCCAACGCCTGAGTGCCACCACTGCGATGGCCAGACCGTGGACACGGCTCTCCACACGCTGGCAGAGTGCCCGGCGTGGGTTGAGCAGAGGCGAGACCTCGTGGCGGCCATCGGAGTGGGAGTTCTCTCGCTCGATAGCCTGATTGCGGCTATCGTGCGGAGCGAGAGTGCGTGGAACTCTGCCGTCTCCTTCTGCGAGCAAGTTATGCTCGCGAAGGAGACGGCGGAGCGGGACCGGGAGAGGTTTAGAACTCTCCCGGCCCGCCAGGCCCGGGCACGGGCCAGGCAGCGCAGGTCACTCAGGCGCCGGAGTCGCAGAACGACCTCCGTCCTCCATAAGCGCAGGCCTGGGGGTGACAGGTGAGGCCATCTGTCACCCTAGCAGAAGCAGGCCGGGGTGGCGGCGAGCGCGTTGCGAAGCGCGCTCGCTTTCAGGGAGCACAGGGAACATGGGGTTCCCACACGGGGCGGGGGGTCGTCTACTCGTCTGTAGATGACCCGAGGTATGTCGGGGGCACCAGGGGCCTTCCTTTCTAGGGTATACCTGGTTCCCCGGCTATTAGTACCCGGCGAAGGCGTTGCGGTTTAGTCGGTTCGAGTCCGACATGCCACCGACAGGTGGTATCCGAGGGGATTTCCGCACGGAAAAAAAAAAAAAAAAAAAAAAAAAAAGGACCAACTCAACACACTTGCGCATCAACAAAACGTCTACACAAGATTTACGCTTTACAAAATAAAAATAGTAATAATATATAGATAATAGGGATAATGTTAGGAATCCAGAGAAGGGCATAGGGTACCTTGCATTAAAATAACAGTTAAAAGAGAAATGCCTAACATTACATTTATAAACATTTTGTTGACCAAAAAATGCAGCAAACTAATCTTTTTAAATATATATGTTGTATAAATATAAGGATTATGCAAAATGCATATAAGAACTCAGTGACATGTTGCTCTGTGACGTTACGAAAAATCTCTGATTTGACAGTTCAAGGTGAAAATTAGTCCACCACGCGATTTCTATTTATTGAAAAGAATGCTCTCAAAAAATGAACAATTCTGTGACTCTTATGAAAATACGCTTAATATACCTCTTATTTGTATTCAATCTAAGTTATGTGCAGTAAATAAATCAATAACCTACAGCCGATCTATTATCATACATTCGTTATACCAGTTTATTGGCGAGAACAATCTGACGCATAAATCAATGTAAAGTATGCCTATTGTGTTAACTCGAAGCAACGGTTCGCATCCTACAATAACTTATTAGTAAAGGTTTTATAAATACTATTTTTATGAATTAATTACATAATACTTAAAGCAGATTTAAAGAAAAGACTTTTAATATACTTACTCGTATATAAAAAAATCTGATAAGAAACTCAAAAATGTCCATACCGGGTGTGATGAACGCCCATGACAGCCGCTATAGAGAATGAATGACCTCGATTAAGCTGACAAGATATCTAACAATAGGATATCGCTATTGTTTAGATGAATTGCGATAGTCAGGCCTGTCAAGTTACTGATGTTCTACAGCTCTGTTAAAATACCACTTATTTTTATAATCATTAAAGGAAAGTAATTAAACTTGAAACTAATCGTTTTATGTCGATATTGTGTAACAGGTACAAATGAAGTACTATTTATTACCTAAGTAATTTAAAACCCAGAACGTTCAAAATTAGAAATACCAATAAAAATTAACATATTCCTAATAGTTATAAAATTTGGAAATATATAAGATAGCGTATTCCATGACGGAAATAATTGACTGACAGAACTAGTTTACATAATGCATTGAATATTAATAAAAGACCCTCCTTATTTTGAGTGTACAATAGTAAAATATTTTACTAAAAACCACAGCAACCCGTTACAAAAGAAGTAAAATCTTGAAAAAAACTTATTGAAGTAATTATTCTGGCATGAAAGACATTACTGCAAGCTTTAACATACGTCACACTTTTACTTACACAATACACTTGTTAAAATACTGGAACAGGAGTAAACTATGACTAGAATCTTATTTATGCGTCTAGAACCCGCCGTGCCGTGTAAGCATCACAGAGAAAGGCTAACTATCACATAACGACAATTCATGTTTACTTCAGCTGTTATCCTTTATACACATTCTCTACAGTCTCCTAGCGAAAAAACGTCTCTAAGACAGCAAAAAATGAACTTTTATTTACGTGGATTATATTACAGAACACTTTATTATTCCTCCATTTGACATATATGAATTAGAAAATAAATATTCTTTAATAAACTAGGGAATTTCATTACGTCAGTCGGTTGAGTTAATTTAAACGTATAATTTGAAATAAGGTGGTAATAACGGCAGAAGTAAGATTGTATATTAAAAGCACCTTAATGTTAGGTACACGTAGGCAACGAGTACGAGCCCAGAATATAAAATCGTACTCGGCAATGTTACTTACGATAATAACAATCTGTGGTTTTGGGGAAACACAAGGCGCAGTATTCATTATTAATATATTAATACTTGTTGTATAAATCTGGCAGGCAGCTGCGTTGTAATTTAAGTAATAAATGAGGATGTACTTTTTAATAATATTGCAGTTGCGGTCGACCAGAATACTTGAAAAAATATTTTAGTTCACAGTTTATAGTACAGATACAATATTTTAATGATGTGATGTATTATGGGCATTAATACAATAATAATGTAAGTTTATTAATCAAGAAATATATTTATTACTTTTATAATTTAATCAAATTTTTATTCAGTCGTCATTATAGGTTAGATTTATTTTTCAAACTAAATATTTCGTACGTAATAACAATAAGTGTGATAAGAACGAAAATGTCGAAATTAGTTGCTATCAGATTCAAATCATTAATTTTTATACAATCTCATTACTCATAAACTTTTGATAAGCTTTTTTTAACTCTGTAATTAATAGAAAAGGTGTCGAAAATATGGATGCGCAAGCTTATAAAATAATAAAGTCTAATATTGACTGATGTTCTCTTTGTACAAGCTCATGTTGCATGAATGTAAATAATTGTTTTAAAAAAAGTTAGAAATTAAAGTTGAGTTTGCATAGTGTCAAGATGGTCATTTTACAAATTTGCAATCGCTTAAGAGACATATTGTAATATATTTATTATTTATATAGTCTATGAGGGGTGATTTTCTAAATACAAAAAAATAAACAAAATTTTAGTTCCCTTCATTAGGAGACAAACCTATTACCGTAAACCTGGCAGAGGATTATATAAGTAAATTAGGAATGTATAAAACAAAAAGGTAGATCAGAAGACAAGGCAATGGCGCATAATTTAGTGAAATTGCAATAGGAGTATCCATAACATTTTTCCTAACTCCTTATCAGATTAACCTTAATTAGGTTAATTAAAAACATTACAAAATATATAAAAAGCGGTAATGGTTAAGCTCTGAACAGTTATTATTGGAGCATTGGGTCTCACAATGACTTCCATCTGGCTACTGTTAGGAATCGCGATAGTCGCACAAGCGCATATTGGTGAGTTTTCTTTCTAATATTTTTTTTTACCGTACTGATTCAGATTAATTGTTATCGAATATTATTTAGATATTATGTTCTTTTTTATAACGTATCATTCGATTTTTCTATTTCTGTGTTATATATAAAAGGAACCAATTCTTTCTATAAGAAAATTGAGAACCATGATTCATATCTTCTGTTTTCATGTAAAACTTTTTTTTTGACTATTGCTTTCCTGCAAATTTTTATGAGTGATTTACGAAGTCTCACCCACATAAGCGACGAAAGCGTGTATCATTAAGCCAGGACTTTCAAGATACTGTACTAGTTGTGTTATGTGTACCAACTTGTTAAAAGATTGACTCTTATTTTAGTAGGAAGTATCATTTTTGTACTCTTAAAAACTCAACAAGTCGTATATAGATGGTATGGTATATAGATGATACCATAGATAAATTAATGCACGCTTATCGAGTCTGAGGTATCAATTCATTTTACAAAAGGGGTCTTTTGCTCAAAATAGTTTGGGAATCCCTGCACTAGATTGTAGGTGGTAATATGTACCGTATACTTATAGCTCATAATATTAGGTCCTTACCTATGAAATTGCCGTTTTGTATGCAATAAGTGAAAGTACTTATTTTTTTAAAACTTTTTTATTTCTGTTATTCGAAGTAATCACCCATGCAATCGACGCATGTTTGCCAACGCATTGGCAGTTTATTGATGCCCTTCTTGTAAAAATCAGCTGGACGGGCAACAAACTCTTCAAAGGCATTTTTTTACTGCCTCTCGGGAATTGAATTTTTTACCCACTAAAAAGTTGTCTAAATTTTGGAAAAAGTAATAGTCGGTAGGTGCAAGATCACTACCGATATTTATACCTGTGCCAATGGCCACTCGATGGCATCTCAATAGCGTGTCAGTGGTATGACAGTGGCTTGGCGTGAACATAAAATAGCAGAATTGAGGCGCTGCTTGTCTTTTTTTTTTAATCTTTCACGTAAATGACAGTCATCATAAAAACCAAGTCACTCATGAATTTATGTCATTCAAATGTAAGTCTTCATAAATCTTTTATTGAAAGCATTTTTAAAACCGGTCACTTAGGAGACCAACTCGCACACTAAGGATTCCAAACAAACTTGTGTATAGGCAGTTAGTCTGTTCCGGGAATTGTTTGAGGTTCGGAACCCTTAAAATGAGCTTTTCTTATGTTATTCTTGGCCATCAAACATAAGACTGTTCCAAAAGCATTAATTTAAAATTGAACGTCTTTCAGTTATGATACAGAATATATTTTCACTATGAATATACAGTCAAACATTTTCTAATCTTCACTCACTGATTAGATAGAAATAGTTTTATCCAAGCAATTTAAGAGGAGACAGTGTTACCCGTCGGTAGTTGTGGTCGTGTAGATCATTTATAACATTTCATTAATTGCATCAAATCAATTGTCTTATTTTTCTTTTCTATCTGTGGGACTAAGAAGCAGCTGCGTCACTTCCGTTGCACATCATGTAGAGCGAGCAGTCTTCAGCCTGCACCCAGTTAATTAAAAAACAAAATGGATTATAACCATAAGGACGTCTTAAATTTAGTTTATAATCGTTGAATAATCAATATTGGTTTCATCATTCATGGGATTTGTTCGACATATAACTTTACGAATTTCTCTAGTTATGTTTTAGATCGTAAACCGAAAACTAGAACCAATCTTTACAGTATTTAAAAGCAAGTACCTACAAAATAATTGCAGGAACTTGATTCTAAATTTAAAAAACAGCTTTAAGCGGTTTCTTTCACATTTCATCTTCTATAGTAATAGATTCCATAATCAATGTAAAAATAATGAAACACATAACTTTTATCTCTTTAATGGGACTGCCTAGCTAACGAGAACTCACCCTATATTTCGATGTGACCATTCCAATGGAAAAATGAGGCCAAAAATAGCTACAGCCATATATTACTGCAAGTGTGTTAGGGTTTAATATATTTATGTAAGCTTTTATGTGCAGTGAAAAAAGTTCATAGCGATGACGCGGAATTGCCCGATGAACTAGAATGGCCCGACGAATATACACTAAAAGCGATGAGAATGTCCCTTACTGACAATGTTATCGAAAACTATGAGATTTGGTAAGAAACTTGTTTCTGTTGTAGTGTTCTATGACTAATACGTACCTACATACATACTCTTGCCTAAATTCCCGACGAGGTAGGCCGAAGCATATTAAAACGACAATATTTGACGACCGGATGGCGTAGTAGTTTGTGTAACGGACTGCTATTCCAAAGGTCGCGGGTTCGATTCCCGCTGAAGTCAAACATTTGTGTGCATGAACATTTAATGTTTGATTTGGTCTGGGTGTTTCTATGTACATTATATATGTATTTAAAAAAAAAGTATATATGTATTTGTATCAGTTGTCTAGTACACCCATAGTACAAGCTCTGCTTAGTTTGGGATTAGATGGCGTTGTGTGAATGTGTTAAAATATTATTATTATTATAATCACTTAATAAAGGGTAATCCGGACACTTTAAGAATCAGACGGGAAGATTTGGAGTTCAATATAAATTATTCGTATTCATCCCGTGGGTGTCGTAAGAGCCGACTAAGGGAGGTAAGTGCGCAGGACAATAGCGCTACAAAGACAAGGAAAACTTGAAACAAACCCTATACCGACCAGTCTGGCCAGCGTGGTATAGTAGGCCAAAACCTCAATTCTAAGGAGAGGCCTATGGTCCAGCAGTGAACTATTAAAGGCTGTTGATGATGATGGTGATAAAAGCAAAAGTTCGTAAGATGGGAAAGCAATGGTAGGAAATGCATGTAACTTATAAGAATGGATTGCGGAGTATAAGCGATAGCTCGAGTAAGAGAAGAGCGTAACTCTATAACTCGAACGGGAATAACTTATTAATAAGTAGCTTTTGCCTGCCGCTCCGCCTTCGCCTATATCGGTTATCGCTGTGAAAAGTAGCGTGTGTTCTTCCTTAAGGATCAAAGTATATTCATGCCGAATTCCATCAAAATCGGTTTAGCGGTTTAGCCGTGAAAGCGTAACAGACAGAATTATAATTTATTTTTTATAATATTAATACGGATTTTTTACCAATTTTACTAAATTACCATCTACACTATACATATGTTAATAGTTATTACCCTTATTTTATATACCCTTATTTTTAATAACTTACTTTTTTTGATAGCATTGGCTGAAATACTAGTTATCTTAAGTTTGCAAGTTATAACCTTCAGTATATCTACTCTGAAGCGAAATAAATCCTATAATTATAGTAAGTAGGGAAGGAAGGAATTAGTGTAGGCACACAGATCCTAATGCTTACTTGATCTGATCTGATCTAGTATGTAATATGTCAGCTCCTGTAAAGGCCAGTATATTACAACTAATCGATCTTATTAGCATCGAGCTGTCTTCGTCCAGCACTTCCAAGGGTTTTCATACTGAGATGTTACTAATTTTGAATTTACAGGAGAACGGAAAAATCCTCAAGGATAGATTATAACGACGGCTATGTGAAATCCATTGTGCTTACTGATGATAATTATCGCTATGGTGTTAAATACTCCGTAAGTAAATTACTCATTTGTTTTTTTTTTTAAAGCAAATTATTATTACTTACACTGATCTTGTTTCCTAAGTAATCGAGGACCGTGTGAACAATTGAACAGTTACTCATTTTTTCTTTAGATTCATCCCGAGGCATCAAAATCTCAAGATGTAGAAACAGCTTGCGCCAGCGTAATTGGTGATAAATACGATTCGATAGGACCTGAAACAATCCTACCACTTGAAGCTTACAATTACGAATCTGCCGGTAAAAAAAGATTATACCAATATATTTTGCCTAACTGAAAGTAACCATAATTACAATAGGTGAAAGATATAGGAATCCTATAATTGTAGCACGATTGTTGCAAATAAATATATTAATTGATTGATTGAATCTTAGTTACTTGTGAACTCGTGAAATTTTAATAAACTTAAAATACTTAATGAAAAGAAGGCAAACTAAAAAACTATTAATATGATCTTTATTTATTCTAAATCTTTAAAAATAAAAGAGTTTTTGAGGACGAGTTCGACACTAATTTAAGGTGACTATGACCATTTGGTCTAGAGGTTGATTAACCCGACTGGATTCTATGAATTCGATTCATTTGATCTGTGTCTGGGTGTAATTTACCCATAATACAAGTATGTGTGTATTTAGAAATATGTAAGTATTTACCTGGTTACCATAGACTCTGTTGAAAATGGGATAGGTTTAATATGGGACCATCCAACCGTAGCTGAAAAGTCTCCAGTTGTTATTATTATTAATTGAAGTGTTTTGTAATCTTATATTTCAACAATACATTGAATTTAAAGGTAAGGAAAACTTTTTCAAACAAAGACTTTTGAAAATTTTAAAATATTTTTTACTGAGGTGGAAAAAAAGGGAAAAAAGATTTAAACTTTTTTGGGCTACTTATGACACCATTTCCAAAATTTGGATCCCTTTTTCAGGTGAAGTTTTTTAAAATATACTATCCCTTTTTTTAAAAATCGTCGTAAAAATTTTTAAGCCCGTTTTTGATATTAATTGTTTTTTGAGGATCATTTTGTTAAATTAAATACTTTTCCCTATACTTATCATAAATTTAATAAAAACTTTTTACAAGTATGCCAAAAAATCAGGGCTTTCCCTTTAAACGATTTTTTGTAAAAACTTTTTAATCCCAAATAATAAAAGTCAAAGCAACAAAAACCTTGAACTTATTGTGGTTCTTTTTTTTGGGAACATGAAATCCTGGAATTTAGCTTTTTGGCTGGGCTAAAAAAAACAAACAAAATTTTCCCTTGCTACTACGTTTTTTGTAAAGGGTTTTTTTTCTGCTAAACGTGTATTCAGGGTAGAGGATTGTAATAATTTTTTAAAAAAATTTCCCCAAAAAAACTAAATTTTAAAGTTTTAAGCCCTTTAAAAGAACGTTTTTTTTTAAAGTGGGGTATAACAAAAACCCTTTTCAAATTCGCGAACAAAATATTTAAAATTTTAAACTAAACCCCTTTATTTTCAGAAAATTGTCCGGGAAAATGAACTGCTGCTTTAAAACCTAGCCCATAGTAAAGCCTTTAAAAAAAAAAATTTTTTTTATTTCCCGACCCAAAAGAGCACCACATCGATCATTTTTTCCTTTCGAAAGGGTTTGAAAACTGTATTGCGTATTTTTGAGGGCGGGGTTGCTTTTCCCCTTGCTTTTACATCTCCCTTTTTAAAGATCCTAAACGGTTAATTTTTTTAGTTAATTTTATAAATATCTTGTATGATCGACGTAGGGACGTAGGTATCTATGTACAATCCAAAAGGGTTTAAAAAAAACCCTTATTTACGATATAATGGTTCCCTTTTGAGAAGAAACGTAAAAATTCAAATGAAAAAAATCTAGGAAATCTACAAAAGAGGTTAGGGGAAAAGGGGATTAAAATATGAAGTTGTAACAAAAAAAAATTTAAACTTTTAAACAATACTTACAGTTTTAAAAAACACCTTCACTAAGGTGTATTCCGTTTGAAAACGAGCATTAATGCGAAAAGTGTATTCGAGAGAAATGTGATTTAAAAAAACATATTTGATTCCCTAAATGAAAAGGGGGTTAAACCAAAAAAATATTCAATTTTATCTTTTGAAATATTTTTTTCAGACTGAAAATTGAACACAATAGACGCCCCCTTCGGATACAACTTGCTCTAAATCAGTTTGTTTAAAACTCCAAAGGAAATAAAAAATTTAAAGGGGCCCTTAAAAACAGACCCCCGGGGGGGAAAATTGGGCCCAATATTCCTTTCCCATACAACGGGGATAAGCTGAGTTTGTAAAAAATGTTTTTGCCATCTGAATATGATGCAAAACTTTTTGGGTTGTTTCTAAGTTAAGAGTGAGTGATATCTTTTATAATCATCCCCCTTTTTATGGGCAATGTAAATGATTTTCCTTATTTTTTTTAAAGGGTTTTTTCTTGATGATCTAAATGTTTTTTCAGATGGGAAAAAAATTTGAAAAAAAAATTTTCTCCCCGAAGCTCCCCCATCCTGAAAAGGGTGGGGAGCTTTTTATAAGGTACATCTCAAATTTCCCCTTGGGAATATTTTTTTTTTTTTATTTAGGCACAAAAAAAAAAATACCAAAAATTATTTTTAATATTAGTTCCTTTGCTATATTTCTAAAAATTTTTTAAAATAGCATGGGAAAATTTAAACGAGATTATATACAAAATTAAAAAACTAAATATTGGGCATAAATAGGGAACGTCCCCCTTTGATTTGGGGGAAAAACTGAAAAAAGAATGGGTTTCGCCTAAAAAATTTTTGGGAAAATATCTTTTTCAATACAAAAATTTTAAATTTTCCCCTAAATCTAAAATTAAAACATTTTAAATTTCACCTAAAATCAAAAGGGGAAAGCCCGGGTTTCCCGCTGGAAAATTTGGTACTTCAGCCGCTGTTTAAAAAGGGGCACTTGCACGAGTCAAAGGGGGGAAGACTTTTTGGGACTTAGCCCAAACAAACTCTCGTTGCTTGCTTGGGCGTGAGTTATTTTTTTTTTTTATTAAATTGGGAAAAACCAAAGTAACACAATACCAAAAATTCCATAACCCTTTTTCTTTACGCAAAGTCAACTATATTTTTTTGTAGAATAAAAAACTTTAACACAAATATCAATTATTTTTCAATTCAAATTACTGATGTTAAATTTCAAAATTTTTTTATGTATTTTTCTATAAACTTTTAAAAAGATTCATTAGACTTCTCTATCTTTAATTTTTTCTAACACAAAAATATATAAAAAAAAAAACCCTTGTTTTCTCAGATTCGGGTTTCCCCTGGCTGCGACGGTGGAAATTTAAAAATGCTGCGTACAGTGGGGATTGGGGTAGGTCTACCCACTGGGAAAGGTGAAATAAAGGGGCCCTACCCAAACCAGGGGAAAATGAATAATACAATAAAATTTAAAGTTTCCCTAAAAACGTTTTAATCATCATTATCAAAGCCTTTTTCCCGCCCACTTTCTGGACATAGGCCTCTCCTTTGAAAGGAGAATTTTTGGCCATTGGTTTAAAGGGGTTTTTTGTCAAGGGTTTTTCCCTTTTCCCTTTTCTCTTTTTTTATCCTTTGATTTTGCTCCCTTAGTCGGCTCTTATGACACCCACGGGATGAATGGGGGTGGTGCAATCAGTATTCTTAAACCGGATCCGTCCCGGAAAAAGAAAACCCTTTACGATTAATTAAAAATCTGCCATCACCCCCAAATTTTAAAAAAAAAGTTTGTTTAAAAAATATTTCTTAGATTTCTACTTTGGCTTTAAAAAAATCGCTTTTGAATTTTTTTTTAAAAACCCCCCAAATTTCTCAAATTTTAAAAAATGTACCTTTAAAACTAGTTTAAACCCCCCTAAAAACTGACGATTGATGACTTCTGAAATTTAAAAAATTTGGGTTTGAGTTTTAGGATGGAGTTTGCAAAAACCCCAAAAAACCACCCCAAAAAATTAAACCCCAAATTGTGGATATCCCCGGTAGTCACAAACCCCTGAGCTTTTGGAGCATTAAAAAGGGCCCCTTTTTAATCAACCACGGGGGGGGACCTTTTAAAACCGGGGGGCGGGGGGGGAAAAGGGGGGGGCCCCACGGGGGGGGGAAGGGGAACCCAGGGAAAAAAAGGGGGGAAGGGGGCCAATAAGGGGACCCCCCAAAGTTCGGTGGGAGAAAATAAGGGGGGGAATTTGGGGGAATCCCCCAAAGGGGATAGGGGGAGACATTTTGCCGGGGGGGGCCCCCGGGGGGAAGGGGGGGGGGTACAAGGGAGAGGGGGAGGGGGGAAAGGGGGGGGGTCAAAGGGGGAAAGGGGGCCCCCTTTTTTGGAAAAAACCAACCCCCCCCCTTAACCTTTTAAATTTTAAAAAAAGGGGGAAACCCCTGGGGTTTCCCTTTTTTAAATTCCCCCTTGCCCCATCATCAAAGGGGAATTTTGGGGCCCCCGGTTAACCAAAAACCCCCACCGGGGGCCTTTTAAAAAAACGAACTTTTTCCTTAAAACCTTTTTTTTGGGAAAGTGGTTAAAACTTCGTTTTGACCGGCCCTTTTTTTTTTAAATGGAAAGGCACGGGGGCCCGTGGTAAAAAACCGGCCCCCCCCAAATTTAAAAGAACCCGGGAACGCCGGGGGTTTTGGTTAATTCCCCGGTTCGGGTCAGGGGAGGGGGATTTTTCCTCCGGAAACCTTTCCCTAAAAAAAGAAAATTGGTTAAATTTTTTAACAATTGGCCATTTCCCCTTTTAAAAATTCTTTCCTGGTAACCCAATTATTTTTAGGGGGGTTTTTTGAAATTTTCACTTTCATATTCGAGTATTTAAAAAAAAACCCTTTAAAAAAAAATTATTTTTTTTAAAATTTTTTTTAATATTTGAACCCTTTTTTTGAAGGGGTTTTTCAAAAAATTCACCCTTAAAAATTGAAAATTTAAAAAATGTTAAAATTTAAAAATTTAATTTAAAATTTTGCCCCTTTTTTTAAATTTTCCTACACTTTTAACCTTTTTTATTTCCAAAACCCAAAGTTTCTATTTCAAAATTTTTTCCTTTTTTTTTTTAATAGTGGTTTTAACAAAATTTAATTTTTTTCGTATTTATTGTAGCAAAGAACAAGAACTAAATCATGAAGTTACCTTAGTTGGTTACGGTGAACGCGATGGTGACACCTTCTGGATCCTGAAGAACTCCTGGGGACCAACCTGGGGTATCGGCGGGTACATGTACATATCTGCCCGTGACAACAACTGCGGTGTTGCGACTGAAACCAACCTACGTCGTTTTCTAAATAAAAGATTATATCGATTAAAAACGTGATAAACCCTAGAACATTAACTTAGCAAGACAATGGATACTGAGTGTTTTTAATCTTATATCATATAGCAAAATATTTTAATAAGCACGTGGAATACTTAATTAATAATTAAATGCATTTAAATTGAACATTTCTATTATTTCTCGACATAACTCGCGAAATAACGAGTTATGAGTTGATGATGTTGATGAGTTGATGAGTTGATGAGTTGATGATGTTGATGAGTTGATGAGTTGATGTTATGAGTTATGTTTAAAATCGTACTAATGTTATAAATGCGAAAGTTTGAATGGACGTTTGACGATGGACGATTGACGTCAGAACAGCTTAACCTATTTAAATGAAAATTGACAAAGAGACACATTATAGTTTGGACTATTCTACACTATTACCTACTTTTGTCCAGTAAAAATAAGAAATTACATTTTCGCATTGTAAAACCTATCTCCTAATTCTGGAGGTCTGAGAACGCTGGCCATAGATTTATGATACCTTATCTGAAATACAAGTACTGTGGATGGCAGTGCTATTAAAGAAAAATAAACCTCAATCGTATAGCCCAGTAGACCAGTAAGACAATTTTTGATGCAAACAACAGTTCAAAAAATATAAACATGGCATTATGTTTAAATTTATGTAACCTTTGTTTGCATGGACAACAATAAACGTACGTACGTATAAGGCCATCATCTAGATTTCTAGACTCACAACATGTTTAGTATTTCCACTTACATTTGCTATTTATAATTGCTCTCTAAGTGAACTGACCACTATCGCCTGGAGAAAGTAAGCTAAGAACAACAGTTATAATGTGGCAATTGCTGCTTTCCAATTTGTGGATAACAGCATCTATAAACATTGATTTGAGTGACAGTAACTCCAATGAGCTATTTCATTGATATTGTTTTATGCGTTGTTTCAAAAATAACTTTTACTGTGAAAACTTTTTACAGTACTCTGTGAATAAAAGTTAACACAAACATAAAGTATGGTAAATCGTGATGAATTAATAGTAACTTTACTATTCTATTTTTAAATGACCTTATTTGCAATAGACACATAAACTGATTATGAGCAATTCCTGGTTCTTTTAAACACATAGAATACAAGTGGTGTGAATTGGCCTTCGTCAACTGTATTCCTGTTTTGATTGATCTCTGGCAACCCTACAACCTAGATTGAGTACAACCCTAGTCTAATAGTGTTGTTTAAACGTAGTTACCTTTACCAGGGTTTATCCCTACCATACACTTCGATTAAAAATCGATTCAAAAAAAAATCTGCTGTCACGTACGATATGTAAATTTTTCTGTGTCTATTTAATTTGCACTTTTAATTACATTACATATATATCTTAAAACAATACGAATTAAAAGTGTCACATGCAAAAATATGATATGTTCCAAACACAAAAAACCCAGAGACACCAAACGTGAAACCAGAGATTGCCAATTTTCTCTGATTCGTATTCGAATATTTTTTAAATGCATTTCTTCTACATATAAACTTAGTTATAAATTTAACGTTCCTGGAGTCAGGAAACTTACTAAAAAAGGGTTACTAAAATCCTTTTTACGTATTATAGTAGCTGATATGATTTATGATTCAAAACCTTTCTCATATGTTAGAAATTTACAAGGGTATAAGGTCAGCATTAAAAGTGTAATTAAAATATCACAATAAATATTCGTTTCTTCACAATAATAAAAATACCAGTTTCATTATTTTATAGTTTTTAAATTCAATCGTACGATGCCCGTAACGTATCGGGGCCATAAATAGCATTAAAATTAATGAAGTTGTCAAAACTAAATGATATCAAAGTGTGCGACCGTTTGCCTACTTTCTTAGATGTTATCTAGTAGACAGTAACACAATTCATGTGCATAGATCAACTGAAAATTAAAGGCGTATTGTTTCTTTAATGCCTCAGGCGTATTCGCCCAGAGTAGGATTAACATACATCTGGATTTATCTGGACATATTCGGGTATACTTCGGACGTGGGTATTACCTCTCTGAGAATTAATTCCGAGTGGTAGCAATTAGTAAGGGATACATTGCTTTATCTTTGGATTAATTATATACTGTATTACCTTATTATAATTGTTGTACTATAAAATTAATGACTGGATTATTCATAGAAACACTACAAACTTTACACTGAAGAAAAACTACGGGATAAGTCACGTCAGTTGACTTTAGCTAAGTATAGTAATTAAAAGCTTATGTTTAATTTACCACCAGATATAGTAAAATAAAATACCATGGCTAAAAATACTTTAACCTGCAAAAAATAGTAACCGAACACCAAAATTAAAACCACATTTTCATGTGAAATTTAAAAAAAAAAATGTACATTGTGCTCTCTTATTAAATTAAATGACTCGCAAACTAATCGTAGTTAACAAATGTACAAAAGTTGCATGTTATAATAATATGTAGTACTGGAAGAAAAGTGCCGGAGAACCGCTTCGCGGGTAACCTACTTTCCGGGTGGTTTAAAAAAAATAACGAAAGTCAAAAGCAATAGATAGAACCATTGTAATTTTAGTTTACGGATTACTATTTTTGTTTACGGGTGCAGATTATGTTTTGGTTGTCATTATATTTAAGCCCTTAATTAAGCTAATGATAGTTTTAATTACAATAACTAAAAAATAATTAAAATAACTATAAAAATATTATTAAAACTAGCTAAGACTCGCGGTGTCACCCGCGTTTGTTGTTGTTGTTAACAGATAATTGTGACTGTCAATTAATTATAGACCAATAATTTGCAATAAAATAAAATTGCCACTATAATTAAAGATCTAAGCTATCCTATCTCTTAAGTTGGACCAAACTGCTCACGATGTGCCAATTTAATTTAAAATCGGTTAAGTAGTATAGGAGTCCATCGCGGACAATCATCGTGACAGGAGATTTATATATATTAAGATTATATAAAACCATACCTTTAGATACTTGAAAGGGTGTGGTGGATTTACTAATGTATTACAATCACATAAGTTCAGTCAAGTCAACTGAAATTTACCTCTAGTGGTACAAATGAGGTTTTAAGTACCAGGCCTTAAGAAGCTAAATATTTTAAACAGGCTTATCTCGAAAAATAATGACTGAAAACCTTAAAATAAAAAATACAGTTTACTTTCACTATATTATGGTAACTCTAGCGATAGGTCCATATTATTATAAGTCTGAGCATTGACTTAATTACTCCCTAAGGCTTATGTTTTAAAAACTGTATGACATTCAGCGTCTGGGTTGATGAGTGGAACAATTATCATAATTGTTGGTCAGTCGACTATAATTTAGGTCGAAGACTTATGCAGTCTTAAATTAAATATCTCGTAGAATAGTCCCGCCTCTAACGATTAAGTAATAATCTTAACCGTGTAACGTGTACGATTAAGCAGAACACAAAAGTACATAACAAAAAGCAATATTTGGTTTTAATATCAAATTTAAGGTTTGCAATTTTTAGTTAAGTTCTTTGTTCTATTTCACGCCTATTTAGTTGTTCATGGATAGACTTTACGGTTATCCATTGAAGATTCCAGGCAAACTAGCATTAAAGCGTTTAAATGTTACTTTTAAAAGCGACCTGGAGCAGTAAGAACAGAAAAGGTAAGCAGTACAGTGAGAACTTTTGTTACAATAAATGATTAAAATAATTTTGTTGAGATTTTTTCACAAAACGGGGTGATTTGCAACGACTACTGGGGTTATAAAAAATAACAAATGGGGAGAATGGCAACAGTTTTTGGGATTCCAAGAGTCCTATTATCATACAACTCAGAAGGAGTTAAATTTAAAACTGTTTATTGGATTGAAAAAAAAATTACAACATGTTTTACATAACTCAAACTATACATAATACAGAAAACTGCACACTTCCTAAACCTGTAAATCCTGCTCTCATTAACTAAATTTGCGGACAGGCTTTTAAAGATTTCAGAAGAACAATGCGTTCATCGTCTATTATTAATTCCGTAGAAGACACCCAAAATGTATATCACTACAGTGAACACCTCTATTTTTCTTAATACATAAATATTCAGTGTCTATTTTATAAACAACTTAAATGAGACAGCAAATTCTTTTACTAATTGTAGTCACAAGGGAATGTCATTGGGTTGTTAATTGAATAATAGCTGTGCTGTCTGTGTTTGATGGAGAGCGGTGAATACGTACTATTAGGCGTGTCATGAGCTAGTTTGGCAACTTGTGTAAAGAATACAATCAAAATAAACAATGATAGTAAGTTATCAGTGAAGTAATCTCATTTTCGACGAACTCAACTGGGGCTACTCAACTTATTCCAGACACTGAGTTTCTTTCTTCATCTCTTGACGCTGTTTTTATTGTTCAGTTTACAGTGGATTTCGCTTCCAGGTATATTGTCTTTGTCATCTAATTCAATTAGTTTAACCCGAGGTCACGGCAAAGGAAGACCATTTCGACCAATCTCTCCTGGAATAACATCAGTTGAATATCTGTGTAGAACTTTCTAGTCTGCTCTACTTAATCAAAACTATATTGAGTCTGCTGCCGAAGACTTCCTGCCGACTTGCATCGAGTAATAAATAACTGCTTAATCTAATATTTATTCATACTTTTATTTACCCTAGCTATTTGATTACTTTAAAACATGGGCCATAAAAAATAACACCTCGGCTGCATGTACCCCGCTGTGTGAATTTATTTTATTATTTAAAGGCTTCTTCACACTCTGATATTATCAATCCGATATTACCAAAAGCACTACGTTTATTATTAATAGTTATTTAACGCGCAATCGTGATGCAGTAAACGAAGCTTTTACTGTCATTGCTAAACTACCAATAAATAAGCTTATTTTTTTCTATTATGCATAGATACTTCTAGACCAATGCAAGAAGATATATGCACACACTGGTTGAACTCGAATGGATTACCACCTGGCACAAAGAGCCTCAAATTATAGCACTAAGGGCATAATATTTCTGCATATAAATAAA